GTGGCCTCCAACCTACCAGCTTCTTGCTACTAGTAGTAATGGCCTCCTGCTAGCTTCTTGCTATATACTAGTATTAATGGCCTCCAACCTACGAGCGATGCTCTCCAACCTATTAGCGATACCCTCCAACCTGTTGCAAGGCCCTTTTGGCAATCAGACTTTCACCGCTTCAGCTGGAGAGCAGTTACAAATTTCACCGCTCGAAGGGCTCGACCTGGCGGTCGGCGACATGTTGCTGGCCACCTGGCCGAATGAGCCATGTGGCATTGCCCGGGCAGCGCCTTTAGGTGGGATCAAAACTGCAAAATGCAAAAGGTTTTTGGGGTCAGTGACGCCAAAATGAACAAAACAGAGTGTGTCGTGGTGTGTCGTGTCTTGGCCCCATTCAGGTGGAGAAGGAATCTCGTATCCCTCTCCTGATGGCATGTCGTTCAACTTCAGCGGCACAGCCACAGCTCCAGGAGGGCCATACCAACTCTGCTGGTGTAGACGGGCCATCAATATCACCGACTGTCGGCAAGCCGAAGACTTCGTAGTGAAGGCTTCAACGCTCTGTGTGTTTTTGGAAAAAAATATATATGTCGTTTCATATCTATATATATATAGTTCCCAAAGCAAGCATGTTACCAAATGCGGCATCTGACCAAAACTTTGGTTTCATCGAATTCTTGTCTTCGATTTTCTGTTTTTTGATGTCGCAGTTGCCAAAACTGTAGGGGCCAGTTGCTTCAGGCCGCGGATCTCCAGCTTCTGGGACCTTAGCTGGGTAGCCTCGTAGCCTGTGCCGCAAAGACGTTCAAGCTGCACGAAAATCGTGCTAGCTTCCGACACACGACGCGCGAGAAAGCTGAGCCTGGCAAGCATCTAAAAATTCTGACACTCTGAGAATCCTCAATACAAAGTGATGTGAATTGCAACTGCACAACAGCTGTATGTCCTTCGTTTAATGCACTGTAAATCACAAGCCTGGGAGCTCTTTGTACTCTTTGTGATCAACGCTGCTGGAAACTGCCTCAGCGGCTGGGTTAGCATTGTGAGTAACTAAGGTTTCATTTTTTGTAAGGAGTCAGTGTTTGCATAAGTAGATAACGAGCAGCTTGCGCGATTTGGAATTTGTATGTGTGTAGGTGATTTTGATTCTAGAATGTTAAAGGCAACCAAAAGCATGGGACATATCCGAGACGGGCCTCATGGCTACCAACACCTGCACTTTCTCTTTTCAGTGTTGAATTCAATGAATGGTTTTAAGAAGTGTGCTTGTTAGAAACCTTTTGCTCTATGGACTTGTTTTAGACGTAATCCGTGTTGCAGATAGAATTTCAATGCTGATATGTGTAAAACATACTTCCTGTTTATCCATTACATTTACTGCTAACTTGTTTGGTTTTTCATCACTGGCATCTTGTCTATAATAGATTTTATGTATATCCTTCTGGACTTTTGAAAGCATATTCTCATTGATACTCTTGATTTTAGGTGCTAATGGATAATCTTTATGTAATTCATGTAATTCTTTTGGATAATCTAAATCAACTTCTAATATGTATCCTACGTCATTATTATCATTACATTTATTACTCTCTTTTCATCCATTCTACCGTAATACCATTCAAAAATACCATATGGCAGTTTCTTATACATTGCTAATCCGTAAAGGTTATTAGCATCTAAATAACTTATGTATGATGAAGGTTTAGATTTATCATAACCTTCGTTTACATATTTATTGTTTACTTCTACTTTCTTAAAGGAGCACTGTGTCATTCTTTCTCTTAATCCATGTTTAATTATCTTATACATTTCTTTTATGTGTATTTGTTGTAATCTAATTCTTGTTAATGATATAAAGGCATTCTAAGAATAGGTACGTAAAGTGATATAATATGCTGGGTCTGATCCATAGTAGTTTAGACACATATCACTAATTTTTTAGTTAGTAAATTTACATTAGTCATTAAATACAAATAATGATATTTACCAAGGTTTTTTATGTTAAAATGTTTCTATATAATATTTGTTCTGATGTAGTTTTTGTTAGTTATGTGTTCCTCACATAATTTATTGTAAAAGTTTTCGTTCTTTGGTAGCTTTGTTTTATAAGATCTATGCTATGAGTTTATATAGTCGTATGGATACTTACCTTTATTAGTTAGCAAATTTAAACCAGTTTTAGTTTTGATATATGGGTTGGTGTTTGTATATTTGAAACGAATTTCCTAATTTTTAATCTGTTGATTTCTTTTATATGTGTTTAATCTAACTAACTTATCCAATGACGTAGTTAAGAAAGCGAAGTTGTTTTTAAACTGACAAGCGCCAAATGAAAAGGTTATGAATTTTTCATTGTTTTGTGCTATTACATTTATTCTTTTGTTTTGGTTTAGTTTTATGTTTAGTTTATTTGCTTTTGTTATGATTAAGTGAGCGTTATAATTTTTAAGATTATGAAATATACTGTAGAATGCCAAGAAACGAACCACAAGAAAATGCTGAAACACACTAGGCCGGACTACGTAAGATCTTTTAAGGAACCCATTTCGCTTAAACAGCTCATAACAACGTATAACAAAGATTAGAGCTTCGCTAAGCCAACAAACAAAATGTGTCGCTGAAAAGCGCAAAGCTAAAAAGGTCGTTGAATATGGCTTGGTTGACATTTAAACGACCGATTGGTCAAGGTTTTGATTGCTTGTTTTCTTTCATGTGACTTTTGGTATGTCTGAAGCAGTATTAAGTGGTTTCATGAAAGATTCGAAGTAAAAAGAAAGGGAGAAGCAATGCGGGACCAGCCGAAGGCTGCCAACACATATTCATTGATGTTGCGAGTCACGGTGCAAGATGCGGCTGGTCCTTAAATCCAACACTCCAAACTATACGACATAACGTGTATACTATGAAAAACGTTCGCGGCGTATTTGGACACAACAAATTGCTAAACAAAAATCGTCACTAGTCGCCTTAGGGCAGTCCACTTTGCAAAGGCTTTGTTTGTATTGTTGCGCTTGGTTGATGAACTTGTTGCGATGTGAAAGATCGGGTCCAGGTCCAGGTCCAGATTTGAGGACCAGCCGCATCTTGCACCGTGACTT